TATATACACGTTTAGAGTAGTGACAATGAGAGAAAATACATTGACGATGAGCTAGTCTCACGACGAGTGTTTAAAAGTACAAGCGATTGCAGCCAACAAGTGCGGATAAGTTAACACGACCGTGGTTCGTTAACATTTACCTCTATATTGTTGAATAACTGATGAATAGACTACGGATTTTTACGCGTACATAGAAAAATTGAACAGAATTGCTCTTCGGTTCTAAAAACATGAAATATCCAAATCGATGTGTGCATTATAACATTTACAGAATTAAATATATTTCTATTTACGTATATTCTATTCCATTCGAGTGTGTTTAGGGAAATTTGATTTCGCATAAAAATCTGCAGTCTACCGATAAATGTAAACTATACAACATTCCGTCTTTAAACTAATCCCCGCTGTGAATCAATTTTCCAGCTAAACTATTTTATGCCTTTGCAAAAAGATGTACGTTCTAAGATCTTCTAGTAAAAGAACTTTTGCGAGAGAAGCGTTGAATAAGAAAGGAAGAAATGAGAAAGGAAAATAAGCGATACCCTACTTTGAGAATCGTGTTCAATGAGAGTTTAGGATTGTGACCGGGCGAACTATAAATATTGTATAGCTTCTGTACGAAGAATAATAATGGCGACGAGAGTAATCAAGCTGACATTTGAAGAAGGAAGAGATGACGAAGGGACAAAGATACGCGAGCTGATGGTGATGCAGCTACTGATATATATTTTTGAGATTGCAGTATAATTTTAGAAAATTGTAAGATTTATAAAGATGTAGCGAGTAAGAATACAAGTAGAGTACAGGTGGATGGGTACATGTATTTTTCCAACGCTATTTTAATATCATTTAATCGACTGATGTAAAGCTTGGAAGATTCTTAGGTAAAATGAAGTAGTAGAACTCGCTAGGTAACAATGATGATAATAAAAGGAGTGCACGCCACTGGAGGATGTATCATGATATACAGTTTTCAAATAATGTTAAAAATCTAAGATAATTAGTATTTATAACTATCGAGGAGAAATATTTCTTTTTTTCAATTCAGTAAACGATTAAGACATTCTGTATTGTGTACCCATCTGTCTCATGTAAAGTGATAGGGCTTGCAGATTCCTAGAAGACAGTTATTAATGGGAATTGTAATGGCAAAAGGAAGCAGTATTTTAATTTATATAGCAACGTTAATAATCTTGTAAAATATGTTTGTTTGATAGGCGAAAGAGAAATATGGACTTATTTAATAATTGCGTTTAATTTAGAAGAATCTATGCTAAAATTCTATGCAGGAAAAAACCGATATTATCGTATGTTGGTTGCGTTTCTCGATGATATTTCCATGATATATTTGTACATATATGTAACGTAATTTCTATTCTATATACTTATTAGATGTAATTGTTACAAACTTATTTAATCAATTATAGTTTCTCTTAACAATGATAAGTAACATCGTGCGAATTATCCGTATTTTATTATACTCTAGCGTTAACGGAGAAATAAACAAAAATAACGTGGAAAATTTATTTGCGAACACGAATGAATATATCCATGGGTTTCTAAATATTACATTCATCAAAGTAAGCCTAATCACAGTAATTGTGATATTCAATGAAAACTTTATATAGATATAAAAGGAATCTGACGTATTCTATTGAGTAATTTGTTAATTGTCATAGAAAGCAATAATTTGATGCGAGATTGGGACATGTGAGTTTTAGAATGTTGCGTGTTCAAATGAAGCAGAATAGAAAATAAGAAGTAGGTAGAAGATGATGCGAGACAATGATGTTCAATATTGTGAGCCATATTTTCTCATTGTGAATAAAGCGATGTAACGAATGCGCCCCAAAAGTAATTGAATAGTATGATATCAGAATAAAATTGACTAGCAAAGTATTAAGAGAATTATAGGATACCTCTATATTTGGAAGAACGAAACTACCGCTTATTTTTTAGTTGCTTCTTCGTATTTCTGTACGCCTTTGGGAAAATGTTAATAAAAATTTCAAAATAAAATCTATATTTAATAGTGCCCTATAACTGCCTTCAGATTCAATGAATGTTTGCATTAAATTAATAGATTATTTAACAAATATATTATTTGTATATCATTAGTACCTCATCTGTACCTTAGTATACAAATTCTGATTCAACTAATAGTTTAAAATGTTGCGTTTCAACTTGGATAAGAAGATTCCTATATACCTGTATGAGGATAAGGATTATAATGAAACATAACTTACCAAGAACTCCATACTGTTGTGGAGTAAGTCTTGCATCACCATCTGGGCCTCCTGGAACAGAGGATATAAGTGATGCTCGATCACTTATATGGCTCCTACTGCTAGCTTCACTTTTCCTTGCCCATGATGCTTGCGATAATGCATCTATACATATGAAAATACCATTACATATTTTGATTTTAAAGTCTAGTTTATACAAATTACATTAATTAGAAATTCAATGATTATATTTCACGTTGATAATTACCAAAATTGGAATTCTTAGCTGCAAATCTTTGTTTTAATTCTCTGAGAGGCCTTCTCGATGATGGGAGAGGATGTCTTCTTCGTCGTTTTAAAAACTGTGCCAATCCTCCTAATAGTAACGAACCTCCAGTAAGGCAAATAATGAGAATCTATAAATAAAATACATAAAATTATAATATGAAAACCTTGTTGCACTTCATTAAGTATTGAAATATTATACAAAATTTATGTACGAATATTTCTTAAATTAAAAGACAAAATACCGCAGTTAAAAAAAATTAGAAATAATATTCTTTTATACATTATGTAATGTCTAAATTAACGAATGTAAATATATATTTACTCTAACCTCAAAATTAGATACTTGCTTTTTGAGTCCTAGATAAGTTTATCGATGGCAGTGAAATTATATAACGTTTATACAATGAACTTAGAAACCCGTGCGCGTTAAAAATGGACATTGCAAACTTAATTGTTATAATACAAACGGAGATTTGTACACGGTTCGCACCAAGGGACAGACATTAATTTCGGATGGAACACTACATCGAAAAACTTTCGTTTGTGCGGTAAATATTCAAACCTAAGCAGTACGACAGTCTATATCATTCTGTTTATGTAAGACACGCGATAATGTGGATTTCAGTCCCGCCGCATATATTTAATGTATTATCTTTTCGTTGTAAACATATCTAATAGTCATCAGTACTAATGAATGCGCCATGACGGGTATTTGGCATTTTTTAAATTCGATTTTCACAAATTGTTTTGTATTTTTATACGTAAGTAATAGTATATATATATATATATATATATATATATATATGAAAATAAGAATCTGCATAATGAGGAACCACATAAAAAGAAACTTATGTACTAAATATCTGTGAAATAAAGAAATAACACGTATGATATCAAACAGTTGGATTTATCTACATACCAAAATACCAAAAATCAACGTCTTTTTCTGCGTAGAAAAATATTTTATTTTTAACAATAATTGCATGTAACCAGTATTTTCTCATCACATAAATTCTTACTTCACTTGTACTAGTAAACTCTTCACTAACGATGAATATATCATTCCATGTCATCCCAATCACACAAGTCAAACGTTTCATCATCGAGATCAAGTGACTCCTTGAATTGTTTTTCTGAAGGCTGATATTCTTCTGTAATACTTTCTAGTACACTTTCATCAATTTCTTTTATTTCATCCTCATCAATTTCTTTTATATCATCCTCATTATTCTCACGTTTACGTTTTCCGAGATTGGCATAAGAATCTAATGTTTTCTGTTGCGAAAGTGTTTGGTTCGAGACACCAACATCATGCAAAGAGAACTCTTGATCTAATCCGACTTTGTTTAATACATTCATTTTGTGTTGAATTAAGCCCCACAAATAATCATCTGCCGTACGGTGTGCGATCAAATATTGAATAACAACATCATCAGATTGACCGATTCTATATGCTCTGTCCTCTGCTTGACACAATGCCTGTAAAACATAGTGATTAAAAAAAAATCTAGCACCAAAGGTAGGAAGATAATATAAATAACAAGTACTCCAGGATTCCAGTACAGTTCTGCAAAGACTACTAGTTGTGCGGCCGTTAATGTGATTCCCGTGTTTGCAGCTGTAATTGATAGTACCGCTGCTATGCAAGACTCGTTAACTTGAAATTTATCAACTTGATGTTTCCTTCCTTCCGGATTTGTTCTCCCATCGATTCTAATATATCTAAGACATGCAAATAATGTTTGACTAAGAATTCTCTTCATGTATTAAGTATTACATACGCAATGATATAACTGTTACTTTGTATTCATGGATTCCGCAAGATCGCAGATGGCATCCAAAACATGGCGATGATGGGCAAATATAATACATTTTTGTTTTTTCGTGAACAGCTTAGAAATGTGTTCGCTAAAACATTACTATAAATGAAGAAGAATATCTATCATTCACGATATGAATATTACAAAACAATATTATTTACCATACAGCCTTAAGTTTAGCGGTGGAGGTTTCATTATAATACTGCACAAGAGTGGAATGTCTTGCAACACCCTTTAAAGTCGTGTTTTCCATCTTCTTTGACATTTCCTGCATTTCTTTAGTACTAGCTGATACTAAAGCTGAGTCCAGTATGATAACTTCTCTGAGATATTTTTTAAATTTATATCTATGCGGACTAAAATAAATCATCCAAATAAATTCGTTTCTCACCTCTTTTTTTTAGGTAATTGATATAAAACTTCGCTTTTTAGTCTTCGAATTACACACGTTCGCTTTAATAACAAATGCAATTCTTGCATGTTTGACGAACCTGAAAAATCCCATCCATATTTACCTTGTACTCCTGCACAATATCGAATTCCATACTCCTGATATCTGCATAAAATAATGATCTATAAGTTATACATCAACTAATATAATATCAAATATAAATTCGACCAAGACTACGTTACCCTAGAAATTTTGGTATTATAAGATTTATCTGAGAATATAATTCTATGGGTCTTGATAAAGCCGGTGTTCCAGAAAGTAAAACAACATGACAGGCTTTCGATGCTACTCTCAGTGCGACCTTGTATCTTTCAGTCTTAACATTCTTCAAAACATGTGCTTCATCCTATACATAAATTAATTTATGTAACAAAACTGTTCATCTGTATTTCATTCATATATTAGACCTACCAAGATAACAAAACCAAAAGCTTTGCGCTTAAAAGTATCAGCAGCTCGTATGAAGAGATCATAAGTTGTGATAACGATATCGCTGTCATCAATATAATCGTTTGTATTTAGGAAATGGGAAACGCTCTGGGCAGGCACTGATGGTAAAAATTTATATATTGTATCTGACCACTGATACCTAAAGTAGATGTAATTTTCATTAGATAAGTGTAATACTATATATCTATCAGTACTTCATTGTCAAACCTGACTGAAGCTGGTATAACAATGAGTAGAGGCCAATTTTTCCTGAAATAATGTGCTATACCCAAAGCTTGAATAGTTTTTCCTAAACCCATATCATCAGCAATCATGCAACGACCTCCTTTTGATATTCCGTAACTGAAGAGAAATAATTTTATATCATTCTGATGCTAAGAATCCTAGAAGACGTTATCATGTAGTTATACCATATTCCTTCTCGTTGAAAGGGCATGAGGTTCATTACTAATTGAGGATCAATGTCCGACAGATCAGTGTCTACAATTCCATCTGAACTACTTTTTTGCCTGAATATCTAAAATATATTTTAAATATATACATTTGTTTAATAATAATGTTTACATATAAATTATATTTGCATGTGATACCTCTAGAACTTTTTTTGGTATTCCATCAATTTGCACATCTGATTGAAAATTAATAACTTTCTGCATTACTTCTTCATAATCTTTCAAAATAAAATTCCAAGTTTTGGTTTTCATATCTGGAAATAAATATAAGTTATAAATAGTAATAGCAATATTTCCATTGGAAAAAATGATAGTAATAAGATAACATCGAATAGATTTTACCATATATTCTACTTGGAATTGTTTTCAATGCATCAATAAGTGGTTGAAAGTAAGCTGAAGTTTCCAATTTAAATCTTTCATCACTTATCATGTAACAATTTCCTTTAATACGACTCTTTGGTTGAAAAAATTGCTGTGGTGACATAGGATTAATACGATCAATCTGTTGTTTAAATTGTTTATTCTTCTTGTCAGAATTATTTCGAAACTTTGTTTCGAAAATAGCATACTTTGATGAATTCTGATTAAATGATTTATTGACTTCGGGTGGCCTATTTTCATTTATTTTCATACTGCTAGTGCTAGAAAAAACCTTACTACTACTGCAAGAAACATTGCTAGTAGATGACAAATTGGCACCTATATTTCCAAAGCTAGATAAATTCTTTTTCGCCTGTGCTTCCTTTTTACGTTGTAGTGCTAATAAACGCTTTCTCTCTACTTCTTCTTGAGAATAACTCATGTCTGTAAAATTTTTATGTTTAATTAATGATTGGATTTTAAACATATTTGTGGCTTGATATAGAAAGTCTGAATGTCATATTTGTGCAGAAATCAGATAAATCCAGTACTGAATTGGAAAACCATTGTATATAAAAAAGATAATTTCAAATTCTATCTAAAAATAATAAATAAATAATTTACCAACCTAGGTTGCAAAAGTAAATATACTTTTATCATGCACTTTTTATTAATCTTATACAATTAATGTAATATTATAAATATATATTTTTACAGGTTTTAGTTTGTTTTTGCTTTAATAACATCGATGACATTGTCTGAATTGCATGTGAATCAATGTGACTGATATGCAATGAGCAGCAATGAGACGTAAATATATTTGGTAACATGTCTAGGGAACACTACAAACCTAATTTGTAACTATTTCCGGTAAGTTCATTGGGAATTGCGATTCATGAAGAAAAGAATTTTCTTCAGATTTCAATTTCTATGGTCATCATCTATTTTCTTATTTTATTTACTATCTTATTAATTGACTTCTCTTATGATAAGAAACCAATTTTTGTTGAGAGCGTCTTTAGACGTCTTTCTCGTCTAGTTTTAATGATCTTACGAGTACAGCAGATACAGAAGAGCAGCAGAGTGTAGTTCGTTCATCTCAGATAAGTTTCTTCTGAACATCGCAAAAAGGATTTCACATCTAATTCCATCCTGATTCATATGTTTTGTGATATTGTATAAATACATGTAGCCTTTCATTTCTTTGCACAACAACTGAATTAATCGACTTCGATACATGATAATTAAGTTCTAAAACAATTACGATGACAACATCGAAGACTCCAGTATCGCGTATGTATTTAACGTCAATCAAGGATAACTAAAAGAAAATAATAATTATTGTTATATTTTAGTCGTTGACCATGAATTCGTCATTCCGAAAAAAGCGATTAAAGTACCAAATGATATGGCAAATTGGGAAAAATCGGAAGCATATTTTGTAAGGATTTTAATTGTAATCTTAAATATATGAGTATAGTATTTTGAAGTACATTTTTGTTTAGGAATACTTAGGATTCATTTTAGCCTTAAATGAAGCAGTTCAAGGAAAAGCTTTAAATGTTGAATGTCCACCAAGTCCTATAATAGAAAATGTTGTTCAAATGCTTAATGAGTTTGATGAATGGATATCTCAGATACCTCCAACTGAACAACCTCAACGTTTTGGTAACAAATCATTTAAAATATGGCATGAAAGATTGCAACAGGTAAATATGTTATACTATGTAAATGTTCATAAAATTTATTAACTTAAAACATTTCAGAATGGAATGCAGGAACTGCAGAAAGTATTACCTGAAAAGTATCATAGAGCAGTTCCAGAGATAGTTGAATACTTGATTGAGGGTTTTGGTAACCAAACTCGTATTGATTATGGCACAGGACATGAAATGGCATTTATAATGTTTTTATGTTGTATGTTTAAAATTGGGGCTTTTGTACAAGATGATAAAGTTGCTGCAGTTGTCAAAATATTTAACAGGTAATTTATCTCATACTTGTTATGAAGACTTCGCAATATTACACGTATCTGGGGATTAAAATAATATTTGTTTTTGGTAGATACCTGCAATTGGTGCGTAGATTACAGTTAACTTATCGGATGGAACCAGCAGGTAGCCATGGGGTGTGGAGCTTGGACGATTATCAATTCGTTCCATTTATTTGGGGAAGTGCCCAATTAATTGGTAATTGTTTATTTGTACGTTCATGTTTCCTGCTGCGCGGTACGTTATATAAATATATTTACATGAAGAAATATATATTTCAGGACATCCTCGTATAGAACCTCGTCACTTTGTAGAGCCAGACATCATCCAATCATACAGTAAACAATACATGTTTCTTGGCTCTATAGAATTCATCTCAAAGGTTTGTATACACTTATGCGCTACATAAGAGCTCTATGTGCTAACAATATTGAATACGACTTCAGGTAAAAATAGGTCCATTTGCTGAGCACTCGAATCAGTTATGGAATGTCAGTGCAGTATCATCGTGGGTAAAAGTAAATAGTGGTCTTATTAAGATGTACAGAGCTGAAGTGAGTATTATTATTAATGGTAGTTAATAAATTTAAATATAATAATGATATTTCGTAAACAATTATTTAATTTAGGTACTGGCAAAATTCCCTGTTATTCAACATGTTTTATTTGGATCTTTATTATCGATAACGCCGGCAGCTATACCTCCTGTTAAAAAAATTCATCAAACTAAATCTACAGAACTACAACCACCACAACCACCACCACCACCTTCATCTAGCAAGTAATCAGTATTGTACAAGTGCGCTTAATATTTGTTGATATAGTTTGTATCAAATATTCAATATTTATAATAAAATTGTACATTACTATAATTATGCTAAATATCAAATTAATTCAATGCATTATATACGATTACATTAATTTATTCGAATTTGTGATGTTTTAAAGCGTCAGTTAACTTTGAAGCAATATACTATTCACTGTAAACGAAATTATAATACATATAAGTATTATTCAGAATCTGTGAACTCCATATAATATTAAGTAGCTTAGATTATTTTTGCATTTTATCTAGTCTATAGATCATTTGTATATAAACATATTAGTCGTAGGTAGTAACAACAGTCCTTTGGACGTAAGTAAACACCACTTTAACAATAAAGATTCCTCTCGCGTAGAAGTCATCCAATAAAATGTACAAATCTACGAAGTGGAATATTCCTTGTGAAGTGTTTGAACATCTGCTGTGAACGAACGAAATGCATAAAATATATTTTACGGGAACATTTCTTCTTTTAATAGTACACCTTGCGAATTCGGAAAAATCCAGCGGCTTGTACATAGACAATGGGTATAATCAAACGATCCTATATAAAATTGCTAGTAAGGAACAAAGGCACATGGAGCGTAATTTATTGAATATTCTTGAGTTACCCGACCAACCAAGGAAGATTGTACGCAGATCATTGATGATGAACAGATCAGCATCGAAATTCCTGTTGAATATTTATCAGAACGTTTTATCGAACAACACGACGACATCAAATAATGAAGAGTACGGGAACATGGAAGAATTCAATTTTAGTGATCGATACATTAACATCATTGATCGAAGTGATTTGATTATGACGTTCGGTGCTCATAATCCACACTCGGGTAATGCATCTAAAATGAATCGAGGTAGAAGAATTTGGTTCGACGTATCGGAAATATCAATCAGAGAACATATCATCGCAGCTGAACTGAGACTTTATCAAAGTTTGAGCAAAGGTGTTGAGCTCAGGAAAGCCTACATCATAGCTATATACATAGTTGCACAAATGAAATACGAAAATCGAAAGAAACTCTACATAGATTCAACTAGCACCATGACGGATAAAAGCGGCTGGATAATATTGAATGTAACTCAAGCTCTTGAATATTGGGTGAAACATCCGAAAAAAAATCGAGGATTATATTTGGCGGTGTATCGCGATGATTATACAGGTCGCGTTATAAGGCCGGATGATATAGGTATCGTGGGTGTTTCAGGGGTTTCGGATAAACAACCATTTATGGTTGGCTTCTTTAAGAGTTCTGATATTCACAGAAAATACGGCACATTATCCAAACAGAAAAGGGATATTAAATTCCAAAATGATTATACAAATAGTATAAACATTAAAGATAATCCTTTTGTTAATCTTGTAATGAAAAAACAGAGAAAAAATATATGCAGCATTCGGAAATTATACATAAGTTTCAAAGAGCTCCAATGGGAAAATTGGATCATAGCTCCGGACGGATACGATGCTTACTATTGCAGCGGAGAATGCACTTTTCCAATGAACACTCATATGAATGCTACTAATCATGCCATTGTACAGACTTTGGTACATCTGGTGAAACCGTACGAGGTGCCAAAACCGTGTTGCGTACCTACTAAATTATCACCAATATCAGTAGTTTATTTTCTCGACGAAAGTAACATCGTGTTAAAAAAATATAAAAACATGGTAATTGATAGCTGTGGTTGCCATTAAATCGTTTTTAGTATCTCAGAAAATTGACGACTTTACAAGTTTCTAAGGGATAAAATATTAACAACATATCTGTAACAAAATATTTTGATAACAATATATATTATAAATTTATTCTTAAAATATACATAAAAAAGTAAATATACTTATTCTTAAAGATTAGGACGCTTCATTCCCTGAATAACAATTCCGTTTGATATGAAATTACTGATCTCTTTAGGGCTATAGTTTAACTCAGTGAGAATCTCTGTAGTATGTTCACCTGGTTCTGGATTTGTTTCACGCCATTTGGATGTTCCAGGCGTTCGGGATAGACGTGGAGCAGGATTTGGAATTACCAAATCATTATTTTCAGTCGTAAATGTGTTTCTCTCTTTATTATGTGGATGTGATGCAACATTGTCCAACTTTAAAACGGGCGTCACACAAGCGTCTGTGCCATCAAAAATGGCACACCATTCTGCCTGAGTTTTTTGCTTAAATATTTCTTCTAATCTATTTCGACTTCCCTCGAAATCATCAAACTGCGGTATTTCATCAGATGAGATACCAAGTTTATTTAAAAACAGTTCATAGAACTGAGGCTCAATTGCTCCAACAGAAATGTATTCTTTATCCTTTGTTTCATAAGTGTCATAAAAATGTGCTCCAGAATCTAATCTATTTGCAAAAACATTTAAAAGAAAATGCAAATTACAAAATGTAGATGAACGATTCAGTTAAGAAGTTCTTACATATTTTTGCCACGTGGATTTCCCCAAAGTCCAGGTATATTTTGGGATCTAAATAACCAGCTACCTAAGTATGCTGAGCCCTCTACCATTGATGCATCAATTATTTGACCAATATGACTTTTGTTGCGTTCAAACAATGCCAGCATTATACCAAAGGCACACGCTAGTCCACCACCGCCAAAATCTGCTGCTAAATTCACTGGTGGCGTTGGTTTCTGATCATAACGTCCACATAATGATAATAAACCTAAGAATTATTAAAACTAATTTAGATTTAAAAAATCAAAAATACTTGACTATAAACAGTTGTTAAATTACCTGACAGTGCAAGATAATTTATATCATGTCCAGCCATGCTAGCATATGGACCAGTTTGACCAAAACCTGTTAGCCTAGCATATATCAGTTTCCTATTTGTTTTCAGAAGCTCTTTTGGTCCCAGATTTAGTTTTTCCATTACTCCTACAGGACAATATTATTTTACTCTTTCCAGATAATAGAATAATAATAATAATGTATAAATTCAAAACGAACCAGCTCTGTAAGGATCTATAAGTACATCACTTTCATTACTTAGATTTCTAAATATGCTAGCACCATCATTGGTTTTTAAATTTAATGCAATTGACCTTTTTCCACAGCCAAGGGGATCATTGGTGAAAGATTCATTAAGCTAGAAATTTAAAGTTCAAGAACTGAGAAACTTACATGCAAAAAGTAAGAAATAACAAACACTACATTTACCTTGTTCACTCTAATTACTGATGCACCGAATTCAGATAATATCATCCCACAAAATGGGCCTGGTGCGAGACCAGCTAATTCTAAAACTTTTATGCCCTTTAGAGGCATATTTGTCTGCGATATAACTGTGTCGAATGTTCTGTAAACTTCAATTTCGTAGTAGTTCCCAAAGTCCAAGGACTACATAAAATTAATACATAATGTAGTTGTACAAGCATTGTGTACTCGAGTACAGTACGATACGAATGACACATTAAGATTATCCACGTACGAATGATTGATCACCAAAGAGTAAATGAGAGTGCTCAAGACCGGGATTTCGGCGTCAAGGCGCCAAGCGGTCTATTTTGGAAAGGATTCCACATTCCACTTCCACGGTGCGAGGTGCGAGCCGTTTCCTAATTTCTTTCCTGCTAAAAACATATATACATATGTTTACATAGCGATAGTGCCACCTATATGTGTTTCTAAACATGTGTTTATGTTTGCTATGTATCACGTAGGATCGTGGTTTGTGTTTGTATCGTTGAACTCTATACTTGTTGGATTGTTGGATATATTCTTTCAGCTGGGTTAACAGAATAATCGCGGAAACATCATGTCGAAAAGGCACTATTCGCAATTAACCCGTAAGAAAACAAACACATCCATTGGATCTAATGATTACACTCATTCTCAACCAAGCACGTCAAACTGTAATGGCATACCATCAAAATCTCTCTCTCAGCATTCAGTAGTCTCTGAAGAACAGAGTCAACTCACTAATAAGTTATTAAGATACCTTCTCATGTTAAGTAACGGGAAACAAGTTGTTACTAAAGCACGTATAGTAAAGAATGTTTTAGACAATCAAGGAAGATATTTTCATCCAGTGATGGTCAAAGTAAAAAATATTTTATCACAGGTAAAAGAAAAAATTCAATTGATCAAAACCTGATTTGAGATTTTAAACTGTTAAAAACTGTTTTAAACTGTGTTCAAATCATAGCCCCAAAACATTTGTTGAACTGCTGCTGTTGCACTAAATGAACATTATTATGTATATATATGTATATGTTAATAGATATTTGGAATTCAATTGGTAGAACTTGAAGGTAACAAGTATATACTAGTAAATGAAATTGAAAATAGGCTGCCACACATAGAGTCTTCTGCATCAGAAAAGAGCCAACAAGTATTGCTGTTTTTAGTTTTGACTCACATATTTATGCACGAACAATTGTGCACAGAAGGTAATAACTCTGTCTTATACACATCCCTGTTTGAAATCATATTCTAATATCTTTAAATATTTTTTTAATTATTTCAGGATCATTATCGAATTTTCTTGGAAACTTGGGTATTGATTTAGATAGGAATTATCATCCATATTTTGGTGATGTCAAGCATTTAGTATCAGAGGTAATAAAGTTGAGAGTACATTGGAATAGTATATGGTGAAAGTAGCATCAAATAAGGATTCATTTGTTCAGGTTTTTGTTGCTCAAAAATATCTTGATAAGATCACCCTAGAGAAGGATAGTGGAACGAAGATAGAGTACAAATGGGGACCACGAGCCGAGACGTTTTCTCGTCGTGCAGCTTTTGAATTCGTGTCCAAAGTAATCATACGTTTTTACACTTTTAGTATATAATCTTGATCTATATATATTAAATTTCTAATTGACAATACTAATTCTGTATTTTAGGTATACAACGGACGTCCACTAAAGAGCTGGGCATTACAGTATAACATTTTAACTGCCCATGAATCTTCGAATCAAACAGAAAGAGATGATTAAAACAATAACGAAGGATGTATTCTAGATTATTAATTTTAGGCAATATTTTTTGTTACTAATGTTTTATGTACATATATTTTCAATACAAAGATTTCAAAAAAATATGTTGTTAGTAATAATACCTGTAGTCTTGAAAGTAAAATGCATACTTAAAATTAGATTATTCCAGTTAGAGTATTATCGATTGCATCGAGCACAATTTGTCGATCGGATAACAATCGTCGCTTGAAAATTTGTTTCGACGTCCCTGAGTGCAACCATAAAAATGCCACGCGAGATTAAAATGTATGTATGCGGTCGCCGAGTCACAGCTGTAGGATTCGAAGGAATCTAAAACGTTCGGTTTACCCTAGTTTTAACTAAATCTAATTGGATTCATATTTTCTTCAAACGTTGCGCAACAAGACGAAAAAATAGGATCACTGAGAACATTAGCAATAACATACAATCACACAATTGAATTAAGTCAATCTTGTGAAAACCATTTTCTGCGAAACTAAGAAACAATACAGGATAGTCAATTATAAGCAACTATCGCATCTTTTATCTTCCTTTTTTGTGTGGAAGGAACGCCGCTACTGCCGAAAAGCACACGTTTGCAATTAACGCATTCGCAGAGCGCAGCAAGAGGACGGAGCGAACGCTCAGCTACAGCAATCAGGGGAAGAATCAGCTGGGACCAGCGAATCTGTGTCAGGCTGGGGGCTAAAGTAGCGCAAGGGTTTTACCGAATGCTCAGTATTCGGCCGTCCTCCTCGCTAGGTGGTTGCGCGGCGCGCGCGGATTCGCATCAACGTAATACCGCGCGCATTATCCTCCTCTTCGGCCACAGCTCGTATTGTTCATCTTCGCAACGCGCCGTGCAGCCTATCTTCAATCTTTCATTAACGTTAATCGTTACGGGACCATTGAACATTTTGTACGATAAAATCATCTATACATATTATATGTATGTACAAATATGTAAATTAAAATCGATTGGCGCAAAAACAAGTTTCATTTACAACGAATTCCGAGTATAACAAAATGGTATTTGGAACTATATGAAGAGAATATCGGTGACACGATGTTGCAGTTAAAACAAAGCAAACAAGATTGCGCGTTGGTGGAACAGCATTTAATCAACAAATAACGGTGCGTGACACCGTTTCTAAGGAATCCTGCTCGAGTTTATAAGTGATAATCAATAAGATGAACAGTGAAAACAACTGTTTGCTAAGTGTCTACGACTAAATTCCTGATTTGTCATGATGTTTCAACACTTCGCTGCCCGATAACTGTGAATCGAACCAGGAATATTAATCCTTTTTCAAAGAAAAGGACCAAGATAAAATAATAGATTTATCAGTGCATTGTTGCGTATATTGAATATTCTTAAGACACGCGCGAGCAATGCAAAGCTAATACCACTATCGTACAACAAGAAAGTAGCGGAAGCCGGTGTTTGGTAAAAGAAGCGCGCGTTAATTAGTTGTGAAGTGGTATTAACGGAAAGCTCGACAAAATGTTCAATCTCTACCAAAATTTGAACAAGAAAGATGAGGATCACAAAGAGCCAGTTGTTACTGGGCACGATCGGTTCTGGCAGGAACGGCCGAGGACCCGTCGGAAACGTCGCGCCGTCAATCGTAGAACTCAAAGCGCCATTGAACTCGATTCTGAGGCTGTGATTTCCGCTCGAGGCACTCTCCGCCGCGGAAGAAGCGCGAGCATCGAGGACGATGACAGCGATGAGGAAAAGAGCTACCAGTTGAGCAATAAAATCGACAATCTAGCCAAAATATTATTTAGTCGTGTGTCCGCTGCACGGAAGGAATCCGACGTCAGGTATCGTATTTCCCTTCCTTGTCTTTCCTTTGACTTTTCCTTCTGGTATTCTTATATATAGAAATTTGTCGAAATTAATCGTGTACATACCGGTTATTCATACTAACTACGTTTGCATGTACTGTATCGCGAAAGGAACATTACGCACGATCGATACCAGCCGGGATAACTTCAATTCCGGCGACTCACAGATTGCTTAACTCTCGACCTATCTCATGAATCATTTAAGTAAGTGCAGTACTTAAATGAGGCTTCTGTTTAGCAAGGTTTACAATTAGTCTGAAAAACTGGGTGTCAAGGAAAATATAGAACAATGCCAATCAATCAATTACGTGCAATGACATCCGAGCAGGGTCATTAAGTTCTCATCCAATGGATTTATTCAGTAAACTTCAATAATTTTTTTCTCTTTGGCGAGGAACAAATGCAATAAGCAGTATTGGAAGAAGCTTACAAGCCACTTAAACACCAAGTTCTCCTTGAGAAGAGACCCATGTACCCGCCCAACTTTTCCTCTTTAGCTTGGTCTTGCGCGTTTCGGTCTTCGCTTACGATATAGACGGATTATATTCGAATATAACGGGTATCCGGATATCTCAGATATCCGGTGCCAATTATTAATCTAAGGACTCTGGTCGTTAGCATAAGTCGGTGCAATATCCGGGATTTCAATCTCGCGATTAATACACGAATATCAATATCTGTTCTAATCGATAGACGTCTTTACGAATAAAATTCCTTATGCACTTTTGGATGACAATTTTCATGTGAACGAAAATTGAGAAAGGACGTTGAATGATAAGGGTGAATGCATGCATATTCTTTCTCATTAATTCGGTCTGTTTCAATTACTTTTTTAACGCCCAATTGATGGCTCCACATTGACAATGCGCGTCCAATTACTGCTCTCCGGTTAATATTAACATCGGAAATTTTGCCTGTGAAGCGACCGCTTATCGATCAACCCCTCAAGTATTCTCGACTCTTGATTGTATTGATACACACCCGCTATAGTTACCTATTGTACGAGATTGCACGAGCGAAAGTCTGCTCGCGATTATTAATTTACAGCACCTTAGGTAGGTACGGAATACAAGTATTTAGCAACCTGATAGGTACCTAGAGTTCGCGTTTGTACAGATGACTTTTGAAGGAGTTCAACCGATAATATTGCGTGTTTCCTAACGCAGAGTATCTGAATGTATCGTTTAGGGTAGTACGTGGCATAATCATATTTAAACCAGTCGCGTGAAGGCTTGTCTTCGACATTGTACGTTGGTCGATGGCAACGGAGACAAGCATTCACGATATAATAATAGATCGGCATTGTGATTGTTCGCAAAATGTGCGATCCCGAGGGAAACGAGTACCGGCCCCGCAACCACGCAGGTGAAATTATTTTGTTAAATTCCAAGGAAAGAATTAACGAGTAAGATGAAAGAAGGGAGAATAAAAATCCGAGAACGAGGAACGTGTTTATAGTCGTGAAATGTCGATGTTATTACAATAGTCATCTTACAATAGATGAAACCTTTGTATTCGTAGAGAGAGATGGCCGCTCACTAATAACGCTAACACAACTGATCCAGTTTGCAGTCGTTGGTGCGTGAATCCAATCTGTTATTGGTATCGCTTGAGAAACCGTTCACCGGAACCAGAAATAATACGTAGAACCAATTATAATTTTCCGAATAACGATGCTACTGATACTGATGGGTAATACTTTTTTTTTTAATTCGTTTTCTGTTCCTTTTTTTACGAAACAGATGCACGCTGCTCTAATTGTTGACTCTGTCCGCTTTGTATGTGCCGTAATATAAGAGAAAAAGAACGATTGCATTGTGGTCGTTTCATATATTGGTGATGTTAAAATGAAAATCGTTTGATGTAAAAGAATTAGGAACATGTATTCGAAAGCTTGAACGTAAGTTGAGTGTATGCTCGAAAATAGGAATGGGAGACACAACTACACAGCGCTGGGTCACGGACCATCCGTTTGCGAGGACGTTGGCGAGTACATGGAAATGGAAAAAAGGTCCCGAGACCGTGCCTTATCAATCTTTCAGGCTTATATTCGTAAAACGCCGCGCTACTCTCTTGTCAAGCAGCTGAACAACATCGGTAAACGTGAAGCTCATGATACACCTTCTTAATTCGTAATTAACAAAAAGATTTACTCGTTCAATTTGTTCCGTCGATGCATTTCAGGCTCCAGGATGGACAAACATTGGTTCACAGTAAGAGACACTTGCCTAAAGACCGATCGATTGATCACCTTAGCACCGTTGAGTAGAAATTGTCCATTGAGCATATCTTCGCTGGCGAAGAACGTTCTGAACGACTTGTTCTTGGCTTTGCAACATCCGTACATATGCCCTATATTTGACATTGATTTTCTCGAGTACGATGGTCAAAACTACGTGATCGTGGTGCAACCGATCAGTCAAGGCAGTCTCAAGGATTTGATATATGGGGTGAGGATACATATGAGTATATGATTAGTGAAATGAACATATCAATAATGCAAGATTGAATCCTTGAACGTATCGTTATATCTCTAATTAGATCGAGAGGACAGGATGGAACGAAGATTGGAGTCAAAAATACGGTTCCCGCGGCAAAGGTCTCCCATTGCCTCAAGTTCAACAAATGGGACGGCAAGTCTTAGAAGCCTTGGTGTTTTTGAAAGAAAGAGGGTTCCCAACCGTGACCCACTTGCATTCGGGTAACGTGCTCGTTCAAAACGGTGTCGCGCGACTGGCCGGCCTCGAAAATACGCTTCTCGGTTTTACCAGCCGAATACATCCATTGATCGTCTCCCGAATGTCACAGTCTATCTCGGTGGATATGCTATGCTTCGGTAAAGTTGATTCCCATTATAATTTAAATCGCCACTGTTGAATTTGAAAATAAATGTCTGCTTTCAGGTCATATGCTGTTTGAAATGTGTGCTGGTTACGAATTACCATCGTTCAAACCGAATTCTGTGCATCTGTCCGATCTTGAAATGTATCCACAAGTACAAGTCACGTTCTTTCTTTCTTTAAGCTTCTCTTTTTCTGTTATTTGCTTGTTTCTTCATTATTACACGTACTCGATTTCATTTTTCATGGGTTCGTATTTACGTTACCATTAACTGAACTTATTTTTTCGAGACGACCCATGAAAATAAACGAGTTCCACTCAATCCAAAATACTGATCGAAATTTTTTACTGCGTAGGTTGTTGAACTATTAAAGTTCATATTTGGCGACTCGTGTAATCGACATAAGATTGTCGAAGAGCTTCTCGTCCATGATTTGTTCAGAAACATCGATCTTCGTGAAATGCGAAGTGCTCCAGTCACGGTACGCACGTGCATTCATTTCTTATGAATGTAGTGGTTCTAATTGACATAATGTTTGCCCTTTTCTCATAGATATTTCGTCCAACGTTAACGCCGCCCATAATGAATTTACTCGACGGCATTAAGCGACAAACTGCTAATAAAAGGTAACGTATGATCAAACAATTGCTAAATAATCGAACAATTTTTTCTTGTTCGTTATTATATTTTGCTAAAGAATTATTTTGCATGCACAAACACACAGGCAGAGGTCACGCTCTATTAGCGATGTCCATTTGACACGCAGATATTGGTAATGACACGAAGGATCAGTTTATGATAAACTGAGTCATTGTTCTGTGTCAAAACTCAGATGCCGGCGTGTAACTTGTCTTTTTTTCCCGAATTACAGAATCCCGCATTTGAATACCGAAGACATCGATACCACATCTCGGCATAGACCAGACACCGTTTGCAACGGTTCTTTACTCGACGAGATATACAACGAGCTTTCAAACACGGCTTTATAATCCTGGGAACAAAATCTATTTTACCGTAAATTTTACCTTTAGCATATTCGTACGTTTCTGTACCATGTGCCAAAAATTATTCTCATCTTTACTCTGAGTAGTTATTCGATTGTAATAAGTTTAATATGTAAATAAAGTAAAGAAAAAAAATAAGAATTGTCAGAACAACGAAGAAAACGTATAGACAATAAAATGTGAGATTGAGACGAAAGGAAGGACAGATAAATTTCACAAGTGTAATTTATTTTTATTACTTAAAATATCAAAAAACACCCAAGACTTCCACGTCTGCGGAAAAGGTAGGGAGAAGCGGTAATATAGAGCTTCACAATGAATTCCGTCGACTATCGTTTTTTCGACAATTTTTTTAACACTTACGCTCATTATTCAAGTCGACGAAGTTAGAAGAAAAAAGAAAGAAACCGTTCTAATACATTTCAATCCATGTTCAATTTTTTATGCAAGCAACGAAACAATCAAATGAATATTTGGATTAATATAATTACATGATTAGGTAGAGACATGAGTATGTCAACATAAATTCAATACCATTAGAAATGTTACTCTCTAATGTACATAGTACATAAATCTATAAATATACAAATCACAGAATGAAAAAACTACTGCAGAAGTGATCGTGCTAATATGTAATCAAGGTATTTGTAAATGTAATATCGGTAATAAAAGTAACAATTATTGCTTCTCGATGACCTTTTTCGTTCAAACGTATAAACTCGTTTCAATGTCTTCTTTTTGTTTCTCTTAATCCTAAACGGGGTCACCGATGCTGAGCGGATCTCACGCATGTATACACGCGCGAGTATATTTGTATTGTTAGAAAATTTTTCATTATCAAATAATTTAATCAGTTACTTCCCTTACACAATTTATGAACCTCCAGCTTCTAACTCGCTGGCTGGTGTGTCCGGTTCTTCGTCGTTGTAGATGTTTTCCGCCATTTGCCAGACCTGCATTATATTGTCTTCTGATACTGAACATATCACCCAGGGTTCGTTTGGATTCCACGAGAAATCACTAATCTTCGCAGTATGACCCCCATGTATAAACTATCAAAATACAAAAGCCACCATAAATGAGCGTGTATTAGCATACTATTTGAAAAAACTTATAAGAGATGAAGTTACGTCATATTACCAGTAATTCGGGTGGTCCATCCTCCGCATCTTCGCTGGATTGTTCCTCTCCTATTTTACTAAGATCCCACACGTGTAGACGCCTGTCTGTACCGCTACTAGCTAAAATCGTCTCGTTATGAGGTGACCATTGAACTTGGAAGATCTCGTCTTTGTGGGACTCAAATGAATGTAATTTCAATTTAAGATTCCTCAAATCCCAAAGCGCTACCGTCTTGTCCGCGCTACCAGTCGCCAGAATAAATTCGGAATATGGGTTGAAACTTAAACAGTTCACTTCAGCAGTATGAGCATCGACCGTATGACTTGGTTTGCTAGTGTTGTTACATCTAATAAATAGAAGATCAATTGTTAGTGAGTTGTATAAGTATTTAATTTCTTTTTATATCGATAATAGATGATCACCTCGTGTCCCAGATCATTAACTTCTGATCATCCGCGACGGATCCGAATAAAGATTCATGCAATAAATGCCAAGCTACATCCTCGACAACAGCAGTATGTCCAGTGAAGATAGTTTTCGCATCTATCACACGATTTTCTTTAGGTGGTGCATTGATATCCCATAAACAAATTGTATGATCGTCAGATGCACTAAGCAAATATCCGTTTAAGTTTGGATTCCATGATAGTCCATATCCCTCCTTCTGGTGTCCTCGTAATCTAGTTTAAGACGTCAAGTTAAAATTAATAAATACACAAAGGAAATAGCGTAATTCGAAATCAAGCGCAAGTAGAGCAATACTATTTCATCAATGATATGTATGCTACGCATACCTCAGATCTGGTTGACATTCCCCATTGGGATCTGGTTTACTGGGATGTTTAGTGTAATCGAATACAAGAACATCACTGGACGGTGTTTTGGTTGCAATCACGCATGGATTCTGTGGCATATATCGCGCTCTGTTCACCTCTCCTTCATGATTTATTTTTATTTCGATTTCTATCTTTCCGCTGACTGAACCAAAGCCTCCGAATTCTCCTTTTTCATTATCATAGTGCGATGCATCGAACTGCGCATCCTCGTTTGGTAATTGTACGCTAGCGATAAGTAGATGATTTTGCTCATCTGAAGTGTGAGTGCCTAGAATCAGGCGATGTACAGAATAATCCTTTCCTTCTGGCCTAGTTACGTCTGGTAGCCACTGAGCTGTTAATGATGGCCATTCCAAGGCATGAGTCATGACCAGATCGTACAAGAAAGGAGTATTTTTTTTCCATATCTTGTATTCTTCATTGATAACCCTTTCCTCCACTGCATCGTCAAAAGTCTCTGTAATGAAATACAATTCCAGTTATTTAAAAATGAAAGTAATATTCAGGAAAATATGTATAATAATAAAAAAGTAAAGTTTTTAAGTATAAATTGAACAAATTCAAAACATAAGAATAGTTGATTAAAAAAAATGATGATATCTATTTGATACAGATGTATTGTAAATAGTAGGAATATAGAAATATTTTATAAAGTGTAGTAAAGAAACTAAAGGATCAATACTTTAATTAATGAAAGTGGTATCTGCTCTAAGCTAATATAACCTATAGAAACACAATTCTATTATACACGTTTTATTTGTTATAAAAAACGAATGATTTAAGAGGGTGCTCTCTACGTTTAATAAATAAAATCCTGTAGGCGTTGGTAAATGACTATCTTGTTTATAATAATGCACAAAGCGTCCTTTGAATAATTGACCGATTCCTTAATTACTTGAATTATTGAGAAAAAGTAACAAAAACATAAAGAAATCTATGTTATTCTTACCACCGTCTTTATCACCCATCGTTCCGTTTCCTTAAATCTTAAATATAATATCAGAATAACTAATAGTAAGTTTAACCCGCCAAAAGCTGCGAAGCCTAACCGGATTTCATTAAAAATGCAAGCGTACGCATACACAAAGAAACATGAATACCTACATATACATATATACGGTTGCAGCCCTGTATATATGCCTTAAATGTATGTCTGCATTTCATTGGATGACGATGGTGCACAACTACTCATGCGATACGTAACTTATATTTGTATTTTTTACAATAGGATCGGAAAAATGTAAAAAGAATTCTATGCTTTATCGATAAAAGAATACGAGAATATGTTTTGTTGGTGATAATATATGATCGAAGTGTGTAAAGTAACTTTTTATTTCATTTCTATAATACTTAAATCTGCGCATGCTTGTTAAAACCGGCAACATGGCACTTGAAAAAGATTAAGAAACAGTGGGAATTTTAAACTCTTTAACAGTGCGAAAATAGGATAATTGTTTACAAGTAATAAATATATTTTACTTAGATTATATCTTATTTTATAATATTTAAAATTTATAATATTTAAAATAATAGA